AGACCCGTTAAGTATATTAGGTGTCGGTAGCTCTTATCTTCCAGTTTCGGGTTCAAAACAATCTTTACCTGGTTGGCGAAGGGCACACTGGAAGGACATGGCAAGGAACTGACAGCGGGTGGCTCTGTTGTTCTTTTTTATCGGGTCTTACGGTTTGAAAGGGTGTGTTTACACATTCAGACTGTAAACTCAATGCGTTAACCATGGAGGTAAATTTCTTTCCTCCTTCCTGAAAACAGGTTCGTTCGCTGTCCATTCATTCTATATCGTGAGTTTGGAAGCGATCAGCGAGATCCCATCACTGTATCTCGGTGCCAAATGATAAAAATGATCACCTTATCGCTTTTCAGACGAGCTTATCGTATTGCTAAATTTTAATGAATCTTTTTCTCCTATTATAATTGGTTTCCAGCAAAATCGTCGTGAAAACTTTGTGAATCATTGTCTGGGCCGGAAGTTTGGCACAATTCATTTGGATACATTACCCACATCAATTGGACTGGACGATAGATCGCATTTGTTTCGGTTTGATGACAATACGTCTTTGGCCGATTGGCTACTACAGTTCCTGTGCCACCCTAATTCCGGTGACCACGGTGTTCGGTCATCCACGTTTGAGCATCGACTGTTTCTTTGGCTCAATCTGTTTTTTTCACATACGAACAAGGTGAAGTTGTTGCAAGACAAACTGGTAGGTTCTGCTCCTTCTGTTGTATGTCTACATGTGCTCTGGTACGTGTACCTTCTCGTTGTTTCCGTTTGTTTGTTCACTGCATTGGTTATTCCTTTTTTGGGGCATAATGTTCTTACTGGTGAAACTGGTTCGATTTACATCCTTGTGAAATGCCATTCTCAAGTTTTTTGTCATAAATAAATGACCGCCAACTTGAAGTGCGCTTGCTGTCTTTGGGGAAAATAATGAAGTCTAATGTCTATTGTCGAATCAGAATAAGGTTATAAGGAGTCTGTTTTGTTTTGTGAAATTGTCCGCCAGTTCGCATGATTTGTTACGACGCTCACCCGGAACAACAAGAACACTGATAACGTTCGAATCAAGGCAATCCTGTAATCTGATACCTTTCTGTTTCATATTGTAACCTCGATGGCAACAATCATTTTTCGTGTGCGTCATCTTCGGTTTTAGCCTTTGTGCCCTATTTTCTATATGAAGTCAATCCATAGACGATTACTGATGTCTGGCAGCGTAACTGTGTGAATTAGGCCTAGTAGCAATCTCACCGGAATACCAGAAATCCTCATCAAGGCTGCACCTACCAATTGTTTCCACACATCAGAAGCACACATTTCTAAGTAGAAAATTCATCTGTGGTTCACTTACAGCTGTGTAAAATGACGTAGTATGATGACGATTTACACGCGCCCCTGAACTGTCTATGCATCTGGTGAGGAAAGTCTTGTTTAAACCTTTCGCTGGTCGTTCAAAAACAGGTCACAGTTGTCAGTTGTTGCAAGATGAACTTCACTCTTTCACACAATCTTTAATGATCTCACCTCGTTAATGGTGTCTATACAAACGACTACACGCGATCTTGTTAGGTTTTTATTGCGCTACATTCTCCATAATAACTGCATACACGTTAACAGGTATACTTATCCATAGTCAACTTTCCTTGATTAACTAAAATGCCGGAGAGCTAGACTTACATGACTTGATTGACCCTTGCGAACAAAAGAAACATGTGTGAACGAGATTTGTTCATCTTGTAAAAGGAAACAGAATTTTACTTGGTCACTAAAATTTAAATCTTAGTAGCTTTAACAAGTACTCAAAGCATCATCCTTCGCGCTCAATATATCTGTCGATTCGCTGTATTATGCTCAAATAAATCTTCCTGGCTTATGGAAATGAAATCTTTTGCGGTGCACTTGTGATATTTTCTTTTTGTGGTTAACGGCTTTTACTTGAACCCGCTTATTTCATTTCTGAGTTTTTGAGCAGCCGAAGCAGGCGGTTTTTTGTGCTAGTCGAATAAGATGCCTGAATACTTCACAGACTTGGTACGTTCAGCCAAATCAGATACGCTTTGTCACTGTTCGTTACGTTCATCTTGTAACAACTCGTAACTGTGACTTATTTTTTCACTACCAGCGAAAGGTTCAAAAAGAAACGGTCAGTTTTCCTCACCAGATGCACAGACTGTTCAGGATGGGGATGGGTTTGTGGGTTGTGATCTGATTTGACACGGTTTCGCCCGATAAAAATGTAAGTGAACCGCAGCTGAATTTTGTGCTTAATAGTGTGCTTCCGATCTGCACATGTTTATCAAAGTTCTTTCTGAAATATTTCTTCGGCACAGTCTTTGATGCATTGCGACGTTATTCCGATATTCTCTCCTTGCTGCCATAATGTGAAAAACTGGAACCCAAAACGGAGGGATAAAGTGATCCATTTTGTACTTTTAGGTGAAAATGTTTGCATTGAGTATTTATTCAACCTTTGTGTTACCCTCTGCAGGATCTGTTACCGCTATTAATTGGCTTGGTTCATGCAGATGATCAAATCAGATCACTTGCTCTGAATGGACTCTCCTGCCTGAGCTCAACTCTTCTCAGTCAGAAAGATTCGTTGGAGCGATTTCGCCTCTACGGGCTGACCCAGTCCCTTAGTGACCTTGGACCAATGTTCCTGATTGGTGTACTGTCACTTCATAGTTCATCCAGTCCAATGGCTCGGAAGGCCTTACTCTGCGCCTTTAATGATTTCGTTCGCAGTGTTCGAAACGCATGTAGCTCGATTCGGCCGAACGTGGCCAGAGATGTTGTACCCTGTCGCATCCTTAATTCTTCGGATTGTGGTTGGTTGCTGGACACTGCATTGGGTTCGTTGGCTACTGTCAGTTCGTCTTCTCTATGTGGAGTAACAGAAAACTGGACGCGTCAGGAATTGGCGGTTCGGTGGCTTGGTGAGTTTACATGGTGAGCCCTTCTTTTATCGGTGTCATGTATGTTACACTGCTCTAAATCTCATGGTTAAGTTTGAAATTGTCCCCATTACACGGTTAGTGATTCCGCCAGTATAAAATTCCGTTCACTTACTACCATTAATTCATATATATATATATATATTCACTGAAAGTGGTTCACGTCAAACGTTATGCTCCTTCCCACCTGACTAATTTACCTGTATAATAATACAAGTGACCGAATGCCTCACATTAGTTAATAAGTCCGTGATACGAACTCCGTTATTGAAGCCCCATTTACTCTTGGTTTCCCTACCCTTCCGTTTGCGGTCTATTGTGGTTCATCATTTCGATGTGGTCAGGTTAAAAGTGTCGTTTGTTCCTCTTGCAAAACGGTCAATTGTGTGCTCGTTTCGCACTTCAATTTTCCGTTGCTTTCCTATGATTGGCACTAGCTCAATTGATGGATTATCAAGCCCATTCATGGAGTTCTACTACACTATCAGAGTACAAAGATTCGTGTGCTACGCAATTAACCATGTTCTGGCCCGGGATGACCTATCAGCGCTGCAAAATATTGACCGACATCGCCTATCACGCCATCGGTCTGCTCAATTTTGAACACGTAAGCGGGGAGAAGGATCTATCTGGTCAGTGGCGTACCGGATACGCACCAAGTGAGTCTGTACCCTTTGTCACGTAATGATTTATTTGGCTCACGGCCTGCCACATTCTATTCCGTATGACACCTTCAACATGTTTTCGACCTTCTTCTTTCTCTGTCAGGTTCATTCGACAATTTGCGCTATCTTTTTCGTCTTTTGTCCTCGGAACTACAGTGGCATTTTGATGCACATGAAACATTGGATGTTTTGCTGTTCAATTTACCTGTGGTAAAACCAGATGTAAGTATAAGTTCTCCGTTCCTGCC